TCGCTTCTGAAGCCTTTGACCTTAGACCGTTCGAGGGTAATATAACAGGTGGCTCTTCTAATCTTTTCACACGAAGAGAAGCTGTACCGGTGTGTTAGTCTAACGTGTGAAAGGAAAGTCTAAGTTTTGGACATCTAATGCACACAGTTGTGGTTTTTTTTTTAAAAAAAAGTGTAAGAGTGAGTTTTCAGCAGACTGGAAGCTTAATTGGAGTGCGCGGGCATGACATCTAGCCTACGAAAACAGCGCGACGGATCGCGAAGTTAGACAAGCACACTGCTTTGCGCGCTAGCAAAAAAAAACAAACCCTAGACGAAGGCCTAAAAGCGACGTGGCCAAACTTGCGTCTTTAGGGCAAGCGGTAAAGCCGAACGCTTTGATTGGAGACAGCACTGGTCCAATTTGAGCAGTCTAGGGCAGGTCACTGTTGAAGAAGTGTTAGGATGGAACAGGGAACCCTCTAATCTTGCCGCCAACCCTCAAGATGAGAGTGAGTTTAACTGACCAGTTTACTGTGATTTTTTTTTTTTTTAACTTTTCTTTTTAAACCTCCTGTTTAACAGTTTTAATCAAGTGTAGTTTAAAAAAAAAGACTTTTAAACTTTTTGTAGGTTTTTTAAGGCATAAAAGTTTAACTACATAAGAATTCCTCTTAAGGTCTTTTTGAACTTATGTAGTTAAAGAGATCCTCTTAAGGTCTTTATCTAAGTAAACTCTAAAAAAAAAAACCCCTCAAGAACTGTATAGAGTTTTTAATCCAGAACTCGTCTATACTAGAATCTTAAACTCTAAAACTCTGTAAGGAGATTTTTGAAAACTGCTGTTTAAACTCTAATTCATAGTTAAACAACTTGAACGCTTCTACAGTTCCTCTTAAGGTCTTTTTGTTTCGGAAAAGTGTTCAAAAGTTCTACACTGCTACAAAAGTTCTAAACTCACTTTTTGTTTTGTAGAAGTGTAGAACTTAAAGAGCTTCTACCTTAGTGTAGAAGCTTCTACTATTAGTGTAGGACCTCTTTAAGTTAAAAGTTCTACACTTCTACAAAACAAAAAGTGAGTATATTAAGAACTACAAACGGTTCTAAACTTAATGTAGCAGTTCTTCTTAAACTTAGTGTAGAAGTGCTTTAAGGAGCTTCAACTTCATTAATCTAGAAGTGTAGAAGTTCTTTAGAAGAACTTTTAGTTTGGAAGTTCTTTTAAAAAAAAAGTTCTACACTATTAGTGTAGAACTTTTTAAAGTTTTTAAGTTCTTTAGTTCTTCAATTTAGTTCTAAAGTTAGTTTATAGTTCTTAGTAAAACTAGTTTTAAAGTTGAAGTTCTTAAGAACTAAGAAGTTCTTTAGTTCTTCAATTTAGAACTTCAGAACTTCTAAAGTTCTTCACCTTCAATTTAGTTCTTTAGTTTTACTAAGTTCCTAAGAACTTTAAGTCTACAAGTAGTTCATAAGATGATAGTTCATAATAAGAACGGTGTTCCCCAGGGCTCAGTTTTGGTCTTGTTCAATATCTTTATCAATGACAAGGACCAGGGCAACGAGTGCACCCTCAGCCAGTCTGC